CACACCTCTGCCTTTCCTCCATGTCCTGTCCCTCCTGTACAGCCTATAGCCCTTGATATTCTCTGTGCAGTCATGCGTTGGGTCCCACCATGTTTCAGTGAGTCCCACAATGTCCGGGTTGGTGTCAGCTAGCAGGCAGGTAAGTTCCTCTTGCTTGTCTCCCATACTACGAGCGTTTGTGTAGAGGCATTTGAGGCCTCCTGTGGATGTGTGCACTGGCCCCCTAATCACAGCATTGCCCTGGCCCCTGTTGCTTACCTGTGTATATGTTCCACTCGTTGGTCTAGGCTGGGCTGTACTTGTGGGTGTTGCTTGGTTTGGCAGTCCAGTGCTTCCTCCACCCTCGTCTTCCCCTTTTCTTGATGAGCCTAGTTTAAAGCTTGCCGGAGGAGATCCGCCAAGGTGGAAGAGAACACACGCCCACCTTTAGGGGAAAGGTGGAGCCCATCCCATCTGAGCATATCTCTTGTTGTGATGTGCGGGTCGTTATTGAGGAAGCCAAAGCCCGCCTCAAGACACTATTCTCGAAGCCACCAGTTGGTCTCTGCGATGCACGTCGCATACTGTCTTCCACATCCACTCACTGGTAGGACAAGAGAAAACCACCTGTGCACCTACCTCCTTCAGCATGCCCCCCAGATCGTGGTAGTCCGCCATCAGGTGATCAGGGCTTCTCCTGGCCGCATCTTTAGTACCCACATGGATTAGGACCATGGGGTAGTAATCGGTGGGCTGGATCACAGCCTGGATCATCCCCTTCACGTCCTGAAATCCCACCCTATAGGGTTGTTGGACAAAGTTATAACAGAGGAGTGTTGATGTATGTTCTTATTCATGTACTTTACGGAATACAATGAATGTAGTTTAGAAAAAAATGCCTACCTGTTCTACAAAGAACTGCGAGCAATAAGTTGAAGACTTTTGTGGCTTGAGAAGTATGGCCTAGTGGTACCGGTCAGAATTTTTTTTATATGGCAGAACAGTTTCTCTTCTTGAGAAGTTAGTTAGTGGCACAGTTCAGGCATCCCAGTGCATGACTACAATGCCCACATTGTCAGAACAAAGCGTTAGGGTGGGCAGGAGGACTTTAACTGCAGAGTATCCTTTACCTGGTTGTGTTAGTGCGTTAACTGCAAACCTGTGTGATACTTGCATCTCAATAAATGACAGTTCCTTCAATAAATATATATCATTAAAAATAAATCTAGAAAAATTAGTTACTAAAACAGCTGTTAATGCAGAAGTATGGTCCCTTGTGATATCTCAAGAGTTTGGCAAAACTGAAACTTCTGAAAGTAAGGCAATATAGGATTGGTGACTTATGACACCACCTACCCCTGTACTTTTACCTAGCTTCCATTAAATCAACAGATCACATTCATTTTCCACCTGACTGCTGACACCTCCTGTGGCAAGAAGATCCCTTGTATCCAGTGAGTCACTCCAGAGAGTACAGCTGTGAAGCGAGGCTGGGCTCAGAGTTATTCATTGCTTTCCTATGGGATCTCACAGGGGTCAGGTAGAGAAGCATCCAGTTCACCCTGCTTTGCAATTGTAGCTCTACAAAGCTGTTCCAACTAATCCCTGAGTTGCATCTAATTTTGGATTTTATTGAATTTTCCCCTGGTGGTTGCTGCTTCCTTTTTTAGGCTGTCAAATTGTGTTATTGCTACTTCCTTATATGTCTGTAAGAAAGATCACGGACTCTGGGCATCTTTACACATGCTCAGGGTAGGAGGAGTGGGCACTTTAATTGAAGTGACTCTTGGGAGCACTCTTAAAGCTCCTGCAGCATCCTCTGTATTCAGCATCCTGTATTTCAAAATGGTGGTGGGGGCACTTAAACTGAAGTTTCTTCAATGAGTTTTAGTTAAAGCACCCCTGCCACCACTTTGAAGCATGGGGACACTGAATACACATGACGGCAAGACTGGTGGGGCGTGTTAATTAACATGCTCTGGTAGACTTGATTAATCAAGTTGTAGTTGACAGAGTTGTAGTTATGCTGTATTTTAGTTGTGGAGACAAACCTCAAGGGGCTTTAAACAGTATGTTAAGGAGTTGTATGCTGATAAATTTTGAAAAAATAAACTTGTGATCCATAGTGGTGGTGTAGGAATTGACAGCATGCTACAAATTAAGCGAGCTTACAGATATTTAATGCAGTTTTCTTGTAGTAAAAGGGCAGAGGAATTCTTTTTTGTACAAAACTAAACTAAGGTATTGGTTACCTAAATCGAGTGCTTGCAGAATTCATATTGGGTGTTGTGTTACCATCTATATTATGCTGTTAAGAGAAAGATTTGTGTTATTAAAAATGGCCTCTTTTTATAAGACAGCTTGTTTTGAGTTCCAGTATTCATGAATGTGTAGACAGTTTGTTTCCAGGACATTGGGTAGAAGGCTTTGCCAAGAAGAGACTGAAATGAGTCTGGTTTTTTTAAAAAGAAAATCAGTTTACTTTAACATTCAAGTTGAGAGGGGGGCTTAACCTTTATCAGCAATGAAAATTATTATTTACTCCATTAATGATAGCTTTTAGGCACTAGAAAAGGGCTTCTATAATGAATGCTGATCCCAAAGCCTGAAAAAAAAATCAGTTTAATAATAGAGTTGTTTTATTTGCAGGTCCTAGATGAGAAGAAGCTCCAAGAAGTTGACAGCTTATGGAAAGAATTTGAAACTCCTGAAAAAGCAAACAAAATGTAAATACTTCCATGAGGCAGTAGTGTCCTGGCTTTGGAAAAACAAGTCTGCACATCTGAGATTTGTGGGGCAGATATTATATTCTCCAGTACTGTTTGAGGTTCTTCAGTGTGAGAGAAATGATCTGAAACGAGACCATGTGGGTGTACAGAGAAAATAAGTGTAAAAATTAAAAACCCGTAAAAAGAAATACTTTTCCCAACAACACATAATAAACTGTGGAACTTGCTGCCACTTGGAGGAGCTGAGGCCCAGGACTTAACAGTGTTCCAAAAGGGAGCAGATATTTATACAGATAAAAATATCCAACATTATAATTGGAGCTGAACAAAAAGCCAGGTTTCTGCTTCTCAATAAATTTTCTTTAGTTGTTTGGTTTTAGATCCTATCACACTTGCAGTGAACTGGAAGCTCCCCAAAATGTCATTGCTAATACCAATAGTGAATATCAATTTAACAGAGCAGGTGCTGGGAGTTCCGGGGTTTTCAGCCCAGAACAGACCTACCAGGTCTCCAGGTGCCCATTCATTAGTCAGATATGCCATATTTCCAGCTAGGAGATACTCTGAAGTCAGAGAGCAGTTTTATCCACTGAGCTATCACCACATCCCTTGCTGCCTTAGCTGGCCTTTAGGTCTGATCCACTAAGGATTTCAGTCTTTCTTATGTTCCTGAGAGAGCATTAGCATAAGCCTTGAGCTGATGCAAGTGTAACTCTAGAGGATATGACCTTGCTTCTGTTGTGGATATCTGCCTCAGAAAGAACAGTGTTTAATCACAAGTGGCTTAGAGCCCTGATAAAATTGTTCTGGGTCGAGATGGCTTCTTAACTGCAATTCTCTAGATACTGAAGAGGAAGATGATTATAGGAGCAGGGGGAGGAGGTTGAATCTGGGGAGTTAACAAGAGGTAATTAGCTAAGAACTGTTGTTCATATGTTGCTTGGGTTGAGTAAACTGATGAGAAGATAGGAAATCTTTTCCATACATGAGCTCAAAGTGTTGAGCTAAAAGTTTGAAAATGCATTCAAACATCTATTTTGCTGGGAAGAGTTGGGACGTGTGTGTGAAAATGTAGTTCATACTTAAAATCTTTTGGTGAAAATAAACCCAGTCAGAATTTACTTTGTGTCTTTGCCACCTGATACTTAAATTGCTGTAGAGGCAGAGTATTCGGTTTCAAAGTTAGGGAGATAGGAAATGTCACTTTTCAGTCAACAATGAGGGTGCAAGTTAATCAAAGGACCAGTGTTGCAATTGAATGGTTGGTGCCTGTCTTTCAATGTGAACTGTCATATAGAAAGCACAGATTCAGGTGTTTGTTCCCCCCCACCCTTGCTTCCTTGTGACTTTTTCCAATAAAAATGTTTGATCACAGGTCTCTTATTTGGAGATCTGAGGATGTGGTTTGGAGAGACCTGGGTGATGAAAACATACAAGTCTGAAGTTTGATCAGGAAGTTCAAGACTGAACACCCCTTCTACCTTAATTGGTAGTTGGGAGATGGCAAAACTCAGACTTCTACTTCCTGTGCTTTTAGAAGGAGATAGGATCCCACATATTTGATGGGAATCAGGGAAGCTAATACCTCATCCGTTTTTTTTTTTTATGATGCATAGGGTAGGAAAGATGATGTAGCTTGTTTAAATAGAGATTAGTCTGTCAACCATAATATTAAAATATCTTTTATCTAGAGTGAAGCTGAAACATTTTGAAAAGTTTCAGGATACAACAGAAGCACTTGCTGGTAAGTACAGATAAGAGAATTGACTGTGATCTTTTCAATGGGTTCTTTTTAAATAAATGCTCATTCAGTATTCTTCCTCTT